TGTTAAATACAACTACTGTTCCGACATTTAGCAGAAGTATGTTCATTGCATGCAAAACTAAAGACAAGTGTAGGGTGGTACGCGTGACGAAAATGACGGGTTCTAGATAAGATGATTCGATTTATTACCACGTTTGATGCAAGTTCTCTTAATTACATTTACTACAGCGTTATCGCTGATTTATACAATTTACAGTTTATCTTTGCATACGCGCTAGGATTCCCAGTCTTCACTAGTCGTCTCCTGGCAACGGATCTCAACACAGAAACTATAACAGTCTCACTGGATTACACACTCCGAGTATTACGCATAAACAAAGTCTTCACTCACTCTGTACTTCACTGTCCTAATCTTTACTCAACTAATCTTCACAATTCACTAAGGACACGCTCCATTCTAGTCCCTGTACTCTCAACTGCTTAAACTCCCTACACACGATAGCATTTATTTTTATTGCTAGTGGGGTGGGACTAAGTCCCTTGTACTGCGGCCACTTCTGGCCTATTGTACCAGCCCCAGATGATAGGTGAGGGTGATTGTGGAGCAATTGGTGGAATGAAGATTGGCAGGGGAAACCGAAGTACTCGGAGAAAACCTGCCCCAGCGCCACTTTGTCCACCACAAATCCCACTTGACCAGACCCGGGATCGAACCCGGGCCGCCGCGGTTGGAAGCCAGCGACTAACTGCTTGAGCGATGGCGCAGCCATACACGCGATAGTAAGTCAATTTCTATAAAATGCATTTCTTTTTATGAAGTCGATGACAATGCTGAAGTTCACTCATACCCAGAATAAAATTAGGCAATATCAGATTCCTTGACATTAAGTATGTCAAATTTCTAATTGCACTCAGAATATAATCAAATATGTTACAAAGTGGACCAACATGTCTATCCTGTCGCTTGTAATTTTAACGCCATTGTGTAGTAATTAGATGATATGTAAATAGAATATTAAATCAAATACACCAGAAGGCAATAAATATCAGTATGACAGCTTGCTAAGACACCAGATGCACAAATGTTATCTCAATGGTCTTAGTGAATAACCAGCCCAAAGTTAGCAATAACCAGGAAACAAAAATGGATGTATAACAAAAGCATTTATGTATCTGTATCATTTTACGAAATCGAAGCATATGCGGCGAAGGGAAAAGTCTTTAAGTAGCATAAATCTGTAAACGAACTTACAGGGTAAAAAGTAAAATTAAAGCTGTCTCTGTAACAGGCCGTGGAGGCCCGTAGGGTTGTGAGATGTCGTGGCTTCCACATTTCCTCTGGACAATCGGCTCACAGATGGCGGTGAGGTTATGCTTACGGAGTAAAATAAATGAACTATATTTAGAATACGAAATAAATATTCTTAGAAACAAGATACACTTGTTCCTACGACATCTGTGACGAAAAGTTTCACTCAACCTTAACACGTTCAATGTAGATGCCATGTACCACATCTACACTTGCACTACCTCTCTCGATATACATTGCAACGATCACTATCACGGATGTCATGACGATTGCCAGGGGCATTCCAAACAGCGGTGACACCTACCGGCTAATTAGTGAAACTTCATGATCTTCCCTCACAGATGGCGTAAGAATCAGTATGTGTGTCGCGTTTCTAAAAATTTCCATTTGAGATTCAACTTACTCTGTACATTAGTATCAGCGTAAGTAATTGGGCTGTAACATGAATGGCGGTCAGGAAATAGGAGAACACAATAAAGGCGTACAAAGAATTTTATGCAGTTTAACATTTCCATTTTAATATCATTTCTATTAGAAGGTGAGTCGACTCCAGGGGCATAGCGGGGCTGGAAGGATTAGGTCAATTAAAAAAAATCCAATGACCTCATCAGGAATCGAACCCGTGACCTTCCGGGTTGTAGCACAGTGCTACGCTACCCCGTCATATAAAATAATTCCGATCATATGCATTACCTCTACCAGAAGAACGAGAGGGCAGTGCCTGGGAAAGTTCAAAATCGAAAATATAGTTTCTTTCCCCCTCCTCAAATGTAGTGTCTCTCTTACTACTTCGCCACTATCTTTCTCTTCTCTCTCTCACTAATGTTTCAAAGGGTTAAAATGTTCCGTTTGTTACTTACTTACTTACTTACTTACTTACTCATGGAGCTGAGCCCTTCTTGAGGAGCCGCCAATTCTGCAGCTACTTAAGAATTTCCCAACATTTTATGGAACCCGAAGGTTCATCACCGTGTTCACAAGAGCTCTCCACTGGTCCCGCCCTCCAGCCAGATCTATTCAATCCATACCATCTCATTTTATCTCTCTAAGATCCATTCTAATATTGTCCACCCACCTACGCCTTGGTCTTCCCTGTGGTCTCTTTCCTTCTGGCTTTCCCACCAATATCCTATATGTATTCCTCTTCTCCCCATTCGTGCTACATGACCTGCCCACCTCATCCTTCTTGACTTGATCATTCTAATTATACTTGGCGAAGAGTACAAGTTATGAAGCTCCTCATTATGCAGTTTTCTCCAACCTCCTGTGACTTCATCTCTCTTTGGTCCAAATATTCTCCTCAACACCCTCAGTCTATGTTCCTCCCTTAATGTCAGAGACCAAGTTTCACACCCATACAGAACCACAGGCAAAATTATAGTTTTGTATATTCTAATTTTTATATTTTTGGACAACAGACGATAAGACAAAAGGTTCTGGACTGAATGGTAGCAAGCATTACCCGAGTTCTTCGCCTCTTAATTTCCGTTTGTTAGTACCTAAAATTCTGTAGCTGTTATATCGAAATTGAAATGACTTTCACGTGCTCTTCTGCTAAAACATAATTATTTTTCGTAGCCTAACATAAAAAGGCACTCAAAACTATTTGCGGATGACATGAACGTAATCAAATCAATCAATCTACACCAGTCGTTTCTTTGGGGAACTATCACACACGACAACGAAAATAACATACTCACATTTCACATTCTATTCAGAAGTACGAAACTCCAAACGTGTGTGCCATCTTGTTCTACCGCGCGTTTAAAACATCTCATAGGTTACGTCATTCAGAGCTGCCAACGTTGCGGAATAAATGTTCCCTGTGTGGTCAAAGGGATCTCGTTCCCATCGTGTGCTGAAAATAGGATCCAGAATATTTTTTCACAAAGACCTAAAGACCTACGTCACTATCTGATAAGGGCGAACCCTCAGAAATGGTTCAGACAGGCAACAGCTATATAAATAAAGACATCTAACTCCATGGAGCTGACCCCTTCTTGAGAAACTGCCAGTTGTTCATCTACTCAAGAATTTCCCAAAATTTTACGTAACCCGAAGGTTCATTACCGTGTTCGCAAGCGCCCTCCACTGGTCCCTATCCCGAGCCAGATATATCCTGTTCATACCACTGCAACTTATCTCTCGAACATCCATTTTAATATTATTCACCATCTACGTCTTGGTCTTCGCGGTGGTCTCTTTCCTTATGGCTTCCCCGCCAATATCCTATATGCATTTCTTGTCTCTATTATTCGTGCTATATGCCCTGCCCATCTTTAATACGGACGCAGAAGCGTAGGACCATGGAGTCAAACTCTGTCACTGCAGAGTGAAACTGTAACGGATCTAATAAATATTCATTCATACAATGAAGCATCTGAGAGACTCAAACCCTCCTCCCTTCTATGCTCTCCTTATTCCGAAAAGAAATGTTGACCTCAGCGAATTTATATACATTGTGAGCTGAATCAGGCCACGGACCACTGTTTGCAAAACATCTCCCTGGTATAGGTGTACGATAGGTGTGAAACAGGTCGCAATACCTCATCTTGTGATGTACCCCTTTCCATGCTGTTGCAATTCTTAGCAAAATTGTTGACCTAGGCGAATTGAAAAAGCTCCCCCCCATAGTGATTAATTATTTCCAGGAGTTTTGTATTTGTTATTGATTGGCGCCCAGGCCGTACTGTGTGTGTGCCAACCTGTCACGTTGTGAGTGCGGTGTGGTGACGTACCCGGGCCTAGTGCACCCAGAAGTGTGTGGGACTGAGCAGTCCACGTACTGACCCCAATAGAATTGCATAGGAGTTAACAAGTCATTCATAATTTATATCCTCATCTTTCAGCAAATTTTTAAGAATTCCTGTTTATTTCTGGTTCGATTCCTGATGAAGTCACTGAATTTTTCAATTGACCTAATCCTGCCAGCCGCACTATGGCCTTGGGGTCGATTCAGCCTCTGACAGAAATGAGCACCAGGAATCTTCCTGGGAGTAAATGGAGGCCGGCGCGTAAGGCTGACAACCTCACCGCCATCTGTGAGCCGATTGTCTAGAAAATGTGGGTGCTTCGACGTCTCATAACCCTTTGGGCCTCCACGGTCTGTTTCAGGAAAAGCTTTACCTTTTTTTATTTGTTTATTTCTGTAAAGTAAAAATGTAAATTTGTCCCTAGAAATAGGTATATTTGTCCCTACGCTTAATTAATTAAACATTACGACATGAAGACGTATGAGTAGTAGAGGTATACTTCCACCATTCTTGAACTCGACACTAAATGGGAGTGCTCGGCTTCTAACCCCGGCCGCTTTGTGCTTAATTAATTAAGCATCAGGCCATTAAGACATATCGGAAAGTGGAGGTATAGCTCCACCATTCTTGACTTCGGCAGTAGACGGAGATGACTGGTTAGCTTCACGCCCCTGCCAATTTACATCCTGGGAAAGAGCCCCCGGTACCCACTGGATATGAGACTGGGTGGGCCCCGGAGAAGGTCTGGACGCTGTGGAGTAGAAGAAATCTCTTGCCCCTCCCGGAAATAGAACCACGGCCGTCCAGCTTGCAGCCCGTCATTATACTGACTGAATTACGTAAAACTGGAAATTATATATCTCAGCAACTATAACAGATAGACACACAGAAGCCTGGAGGCGTCTCCCTCCTTGCTCTGTTTGGCGTAACAAAGCATTAGGACGAATGCTTCTCGAACAATACATAGAAACCCATTTTGTGGGTGGGGTTAAAGTGTCTCTACCCTCAGCACGAAGCTCCTCTATCGCGCAGTGAGGCAGAAATGGGTGCGATGACATGGAAATATACAAAGAACAAAGAAACAAAGAGGTGCACGTCCATCTTTGTAGGTACGAGATTTAATGGCTTTGTAACTGAGCAGGTTCACTTAGCGGTGCGCCTGTAGGCTCAAATTCTAGAGGTGCTTGGTTCGAATCGGTCGGAACACAAGCCATCCTGCAAGAGACTTTTCGTCGTTCTCCTCAGCCTCTCTTTGCAAATGCTTGGATAATATCTCGCTTAGGTCACGATTCTTTTCTTACAAATCCTCCTCAATTCATTATTCAGCTATCATCACTCGACCTCCCGAGTCTTGACACTGACAGCATCGGAAATAATCCACGAGAATAGACGCTATCAATTCAGGCTGGGAGAGCGTCGAAAGTTAGGATCATTACCGGGTAACTGGAACGGATGTGGAAAGATATGGCTTAAATTAAGGTACTTTCGTGGTAATTGTCTACAGTGAATGAGGAAAACGAAGAAAATCAAGAAAAAACGTCCAAATACAAAGCTGAAGTTCTACTTACCTGAATTTTCAGGATGAAATGTTAATTATTTTCAATTTCGCGATTTTAGCGTCCCAAAACTTTGGAAAACTGATGTTTCAGTGACATTCCTCGGCCTCTTAAGGAAAATACCAGGGCAGTACCTCAAATTGGGCCATAACAGCTTGCTTCCTAATCCTTTCCAATCGACATCGTGTAGTCTGAGCTACTGACGGCGCCACTACCTAAACCAGTGGTTCCCGAAGTGCTCTAACCTGAGGTGTCATTTCTTTGAGGCCCACATTTTTTAAAAAAATTACTTAAAATGTGATTTAGAAATGTAAAAATACAATTATCAACGCATATGAGTCGTATCCATGTGTTCTTATGTTATGTACGTATGTTTGTAAGTTAATGTGGTCTTCTCCTATCAGTGTACATGCATAATATACAATTAGCATTGTCTGTGGCCCCCGAAAGAAACTTTCACACCCCTTTGGGACGTGGGCGGGAGGTCAAGAAGGCTCGCACTTTGGGAAACGCTAACTGAAACCATAAGAAAATAAATATTTTGACATAACACCAGAAAGCGGGAATTGTGAAGTCAGAATAGAGGTTCATTGCTAGACAACGACTCGGTAAACACATTCCCACGGCAATAAATACGCAAATAACAATGGAGTAACTTCCGTTGATATGCAACGACACTTTAAACACGACTTCCCAACAACAGCCAGCCTGAGTTTTCTGCGCGGTCCATGTAAATTGATTCGGTTGAGAAGAACAGAGTCGAGTTTCGAGACGCCAGCCTGCCAGGATAAGAGCTTGGGAGCAGAGGAATTGAACTGAGGTGGCAGTTGCAGAATCATGGCAAGAAAGGAATTTGACTGTGAAAGAAGACTTCATATGTGATTTGAAGTGACAGTGAGACTGTTATAAATCCGTTGCCAGGATACGACTAGTGAAGATTGAGAACTCTAGTGCGTATGTAACGGTGAACTGTAAAGTATGTAGATCAGCGATGGCGCTGTATTGCCTGTAGTCCCGGGTTGCGTGCATAAGGTGTCAATAAACCGAATCATCGAACCCATGACCTGTATATAGTAACATCCCTGCACGTGACAATACATGTGAGTTATGACGGTCTTACTGTGATGACCGCGAATAGTACCTGTATCCTGGGGTGTGGTGTGCTGTGTAGATTGGCTGACAGGTGCCAAAGTGTGTGACGTTAGAACCCAGTAAACAATATTCGTAAAGACATGAAGAACTTAGAACTTTTTATTGTCACAAAGAAGTGAAATGGACCTGTGTAAGGCTGGAACGTCCATTACTCGATTTACAGAGTTATTCTAAATTATTGTCGGGGATTTCGCGGCCTGTAATTTTAAAATCGAAAATAATAATATAAAACTGCTTATGGAATATGAAAGTACAACTCAAAAAGTTTCATTAGTTATAGAATAAATGCTGCAGAATGGTAAACAACTTAAGCATGAGCAGTTTTATTTTGCTGTTTCCGGTTTAGACAATAATTTAGAATCACATTGTAAAACTACACTGAGTTGTAGGGAGCAAACTGAAACACTGCGAGATGAAGCAATTAAAAGCATTACTTTATTATAGTTCCAAAACTTTGACTAATAATTTCGCTTGTTACGAACCCTCGTGTACCTCAATATTTTTCTCTGACTATCCTCGAAGGGTCCGATCAATTCGAGTTGGTTGCTAACAACACTAACGTTACTAAGTGACTACTGGCATAACAGATGGCAGCACGCAGCTGAGGACGGGAGAGAGGGGAGGACATAAATGATTAATTAGACGAAGCTTCTCACTATTATGTAAGTGAAACAGCCTGAAAAGTATTCTAACAGAAATCACAGAAGTCTATATAAATGCTGATACGTATGTTCGTACATCACAATTCAATCAATAAGGATGAGATCAAATAGGCCGGGTGAATAGGGGGAGCGCTCTTCCGGGTTTTATTCTTGACCTGCAGTACCTTAACCTTCAGAACCTGCAGTTAATTTAAATAATATTAAATTTATCACTTCGTAAAAAGGTAAAGTTTTACCTGTGCTCAACGAATTAAAGCACTACGCCATGAAGGCATATAGGGGGAGTGGATGTATAGATCCACATTTTCTTGACTTCGGCACTAGCTGGAGGTGAGTGGTCGGCTTCACGCCCCGGCCAATTTACCCCCAGTACCCATTAGATAGGAGGTTGGGTGGACCCCAGATCCAGTCTGGACGACATGGAGAAGAGAAAATTTTTCACCTACCAGGACTCGAACTCCGACCTCTCAGTCGTCCAGCCCGTAGCCAATCGCTATACCGACTGAGCTACCCCGGCTCCCCTTCGTACCTCATATAAAGCACAATGCGTGTCCATACAAATACCAACCCGCTATTGCCATCCATCCGTCCAACCACTTACCTACCTACGGTTCTGCATTCCTTTGTTGGAACTTGGCCGCTTTTTTCAGGTACTTGATCTTTTTACACAGTCGGTGGGACTCCTTGGATGGGGGATCAGACCGTCGCAAGGCCGCTACCTAACACAAATACAGAATAAACGCACATAGACATCCATGCCCCGAGTGGGATTCGAACCCACGAATCCAGTGTTCGTGCGGGTGAAGATCGCGCGGCCACTGTGATCGGCAACAGCTATCGTTGCTCCGGTAAATGATCGCTGTTCATTCTGAGCGTCACACGGAAAACACACACACTCCTTGGGCAACACGCAGTTATCTTATGTTAAAGTGAAGCGCTGTTCCTGTCGTAACTGCTGTACTTCAAAACGTTAACGGATCTTGGGCTATTTAATAACGCTGTTTCAGCCGCAGATGTTATGGGATGTTGAATGAGAGATGATGGCAACCCCGAATGATGAGTAAGGATCAGGAAGGAGAGCCGTCGCCTATTTTAAGGTACTATAAGATCATTCGCCCGGAAAGACTAAGGAAAACCATGAAAATGGTAGGTGAGGATAATCTTACAGGGATTCGAATTCGCGGAATTTCTTTTCTTCTCTTTTTTATGGACATCGTAAAGACTTCATCTGTTTCTGCTATGGCTTCGTAATGTTGAAATATTTTCTGGTTCCAACTTGTTCGCGTGACGTAAAATGATTTCCGCGCCACTTCCGGCTCCTTTAAGCCTTCACACCTGTTCACACGAATAAATTAAATGGTCAAAACATTAAAACAACCGTCTAAAACAGCTTTAACGTGGGTAATTTAGAAGGAACGCCCTATCAACGAACATCTTCCGGTGTAATGAAAGCCATTCCTGTATTCAGGCAGTCCCGTACTCGAATCTCATCTGGGTTAGCGGCTATGCTTACTGAAAGCTGATGCCAAAAGTTTACCCAGGGAAATATTGATAGAGTATTTTAAAATAGGCCACGATAAATTTCGCCCTTTTCCTTCTAAATTAATGACTCCTAACTCAGTAAAAATTAATTAATTTGGCTCTTATGGATTTGGTATTGAATATTGAGATGAGAGATTGCCCCGGATGTACGAGGCTTCACAAGAAAGTTTGCGAACTCGCCACCGTGCTTGGCGTGGAAGCAGTATGGTTTGATGACGTTGGCATACCAAGTTTAATATTTTGGAGTATTGAAAAAGCTGCGTGAAAAATTTAGACGGAAAGACACAAACTTTTTGCCAGCAACTCATGCATCTTGCATCAAAACAATGCACCTGTTCACACAGCACCGTCTGTGAGGGAGTTTTTAGTTAGTAAACAAATAACACTGGTGGAACACTCTCCCTATTCTCTGGATCTAGCCCCACAATGACTTTTTTGTTCCCAAAGATAAAGGAAATATTGAAAGGAAGGCATTTTGATGACAGTGATGACATCAGGAGTAATATGACAGCTGCTCTGAAGGCCATTCCAGAAAACCAGTTCCAAAATTGTTTTGAAGGGTATGCTAAGTGCTGGCACTGGTGCATAGCTTCCCAAGGGGAGTACTTTGAAGGTGACCACAGTGATATTCAGCAGTGAGGTATGTGGCACTCTTACCGCGATGAGTTCGCTAACTTTATTGTCATATTGGAGTCTGCTACAATAGGACGCCGTGTAGTCTGCTAGCATGTTTCGGTGAAATCTTTGTCTCAGTATTTAAGGTAAAAGTTGGATATAGCAAGCTCTTACAGAATGTTGACATTTATGTTCAGACTTCACGGCATCACACCCCAGAAGGCTGTAATCCTATCGTGGTAATGAATATCTGGCTCCATAAAAGATGGAGAAGTTGTGGCGCATGCGAGCTAATATTGGTTTGACGAGGAGAGCCCTCACTCTGTTAAGTTGGTTAATTAGTTCATCTTGAAAAGCTGACAGTTGTACGGTTGGTCTGGTACACGCTCTTAGGAGACTCGGATATATTTACAGAAGTAAACCAATGGAATATGTCGTGGTTTTCCTCAGTCCGACCAGAAAACTCCTCTGAAAAAGTAGGGAACGTTTACTTTTAAATCCTTGCCCATTCATCACTGATGGTTAACCGGGATAGCTCAGTTGATATAGGGACGGGCTATGGGCTCCATGACCCGGGTCCGATTCCCAGTAGGGGCACGAAATTGTTCTCTACTCTCCATCGCCCAGACCGGGTCTGAAGTCCACCCAACCTAACCTATCCAATGGGTGCAGGGGCTCTTTCCCAGGGGGTGAAGCGGCTGGGGCGTGAAGCTTACGGTTCACCTCCAGCTAGTACCGAGTTCAAGGAAATGTGGATCTATATATCCACCCCCCCCATATGTCTTCATGGCTTAGCGCTTAATTAGTTAATCAGGGGAATATCGTCATTCTTAACCGTCTCCCATCTCATTCTACGGCACATGACGCGTGAATCTGAAACAGCGTTGTTAAAATCGTAACAATAAATCAGTGTTAAATGGAGGGACAGCTGCAGGCTTCGAGCAGCATTCCTACTTCGTTTGCTGGGGGCGGCGGCTTCAAATCTCGGCCCGGAAGCCGGATACTCTCACTGCGGGTTTCAGCGGTCCCTTCGTCCCTGTCTGGGATAGTATCTCAAATTGGGCCACGACCACTTCCTTCCTCATTTCTTCCAGTTCATTATTCACTTATCATCCTACCATTTAGCGCTATAAAAGTAAAGGTAAAGCTATCCCTGTAACAGGCCTTGGAGGCCCATAGGGTTGTGAGACGTCGAGGATCCCACATTTTCTAGACAATCGGCTCAAAGATGGCGGTAAAATTGTCAGCCTTACGCGCCGGCCGCTCATTACCCCCAGGAAGATTCCTGGTACTCTTTTCTGTTAGAGGTTGATTCGACCCCAGGGGCATAGTGCGGCTGCAAAGATTAAGTTAACTGAAAAAAAACTCAACGACATCATCGGGACTCGAACCCGCGACCTTCCGGTTTGTAGTATAGTGCCTCAACCAACTATGCTACCGCAACGCTACATGACCTTAAATACTGACAGCGTCGTCAAACTAAAATATAAATAAATAAATAAATAAATAACAGATAAATAAGAAACAAGTGAAATTACACGTGTCAGTTTATGTGCTGAACTGACCCCCTCCCACACAAGCATTGAAACGTCAGACTTATGAGTTGTGACTGGACACAAAAGGACGCTTACAAGTGCGCAACGGCTCCCAAGAACTGCCCATCCGGTTGGACACAGCAGGCGAGAGTGGGGGCGCCTGGACGCTGTCAGTACGCCGGAATCAAGCGTCTCTTACTGACGCCCATCATATTCTGTGGTGGTTCTAAAATTGTGAAATGTGGCCACGTTTCAGGTGAACTATAAATACACAGTTCCTCGTGTTCAAAACATCGAATTAGGTACGCATAATGATTTATCATACAAACGGGACTAACTCTTTCAGAAATGGTCATTTATTCGACCGTATAAGCTGAAGAATGACGTCTTCTGGGATGTGGTGCTGTGTATATATTGTGTAAACCGACGTTTCGGAGGAATGTATCGCCTCCATCTTCAGGGCAAGGAACCAGCGTGAGCAGGTAGCTGCAGCTATACGGAGCCACATCCCAGAAGACAGCATTCTTCATGGTTACCGCCGTGAAAACCTCAAATCTTATATGTTTTACGTTTAAAATATTTTTCATGGTACCACTTGATGTATAGGAGCTGGGATAGCGCAATCGGCATAGCGACTGGCTACGGGCTGGACGATTGAGGCGTCGGAGTTCGAGTCTCGGTAGGGTCAAGAATTTTCTCTTGCCATGTCGTCCAGACAGGCTCTGGGGTCCGCCCAACCTCCTATCCAATGGGTATCGGGGACTCCTTCCCCGGGGGTAAAGCGGCTGAGATGTAAAGCTGACCACTCACCTCCAGCTAGCGTGGAGGTCAAGAAAATGTGGATCTATACATCCACTCCCCCATACGCCTTCATGGCGTAGACAACTTTATCTTTACCTCTTACACTTACTGTATGCTTCTATAGCCAATAAACATTCTTCAGGTTACTGAACTGTTAAGTGGTCCTATATAGCATTGTTGGGAAAAAGAGATAAGGAGGGTGGAGCTTCCAGTATGTGGAAAGTATCAAGGAAATAGGCTACATATAAAAGGTGATTTTGAAAAATACAAGGCAACACAGTACAGCTGACGCCTTTCTGTTTTAGAATTGAGACTTTTGCAGGAGCCAAGCCTGTATGAATATTTGTCTGTGTTTACTGACTTTTCAAAATGTCTCAGAAATGAATCCCTGGGTCGGGTGTACTACTGATCATGGCGTATCAGCAGATCCAGAGGTTCAGCACTTTCTCTTCACATTAGCTAAGCTGCTCACCTTACAGTATCGGCTAAGTAACTGACTCAAATGAATCAGTCAACCAAAGAATCAGAACAATAATAAATCAACTGACTACTCAACCAATGAGCAAATCTGCAGTGTGATTCTAAATTATTGTCGGGGTTTCCGTGGCCTATAATTTTGAAATCGGAAAAATAAAATAAAATTCCTTATGGAATATGAAAGTATAATTAAAAACATGTCATTACTTATATAATCAATGCTGCAGAACGCTAAACAAATTTTTCCATGGGACGTGAGTTATCCAGGCGGTATTCAAATTTCCCTCCAAGTGTAGAGGCCATGGAATTACCGACAATAATTTAAAATCACGTTGTATTACCCATTTACTGAACAACTAAGCCATCAGCCGGTCAAGAAACTAATAAATTACCCAATTAATAAATAAATAAAGCGTCTAACATTTGATCCAACTCATAATTATCCAAATAATCAACGAACTAACAAACAAATCAACCAACAAACAGGCCAATGTACCAACTAACAAATAAATTAACCAAACAAGTAGGAAACCAATCAAATAACAAACTAACCAACCATCAGAATAATTACAAAACAATATACCATCTAACTAATCAACCATGTAATCGATCAATGAAACAATTACTCAAAGAACTATTGTTATAAGTAATGCACTAACGAACAAACTCACTAACCAACGAACAGAAGGAAAGAGCAACTAAGAAACTAAACTAAACAACTAAATAATGGAGTGGGTTATTCTTTGAAAAGCGAAAAGTTGCTCGAGCGGTCCTCAAATATGTATTTTACTTTATCCTTAAGGATCCTCACCGTGATCAAGTGGATCTTATGTTGGATCCTACAATGAGCGAGCTTAACAGAGTCTGTACGTCCAAACTCTGCTTCTGTAAAATCAGTTTTAACCTTAGTCCCCCATTTAGGCGTTCCCTACCTTAAGGGATTTCGGAACAAAAATTTGCATGTGCAATTACATATTTCTCACACGTCCCACACACGCCTCTGTATCTGGGCGACACCATCACCCTTGGCGTAATCATCCCAACAATACTGTGAGAAGGGTGCGTATTGTTACGTAACTTGCTGGATTTGAGTTGTTTACAGTGGTTCGGTAGAACTCCACAGAAGTTTCGCAAGACTGTTCTGCCCCCATCTTCAAGATATGTGTATTTAGTGCTTGATTCTCACTGATTCTTTACTTGACTTATTCTTCGAGCCAGAAAATGGTTAATCCGTTGATTTCATCTAAATCACATATCATCGTATCCCAGAAGATGGTACTCTTAACACAACCACTTCTTACAAATATCTCTTCTCTTTTTCAGAAGTCAGCCACATATCAATAGGGACCTATGACATGTAACTACAGCAGGGTAAAATGGGGCACGTCAAACGGTGCTAAGTGATTTCACCCTTGGGAGCAATGTGTGAGAGTGAAAAGTGAAAAAATCGCCAAGTGACTGGGAAGTAGACATAAAGGGCATTATTATAATTTCGTGGGGTGTGCGAGATAATTTTGTGTTTACTGCAATGGACAGTGGTAGGTAGTCCATGTCTGTGCAAGTGGTGGCAGCTCCCCCGCGGCCCGACAAGGCGGTCATCCGACGGCAGAGAAGGAAAATGTCCATCAAGAGGAAGAGGGTCACTCCACCCAGCAGCCAGCAGCTTAGGAATCTGCAGGCCAACGGGCTCTACGTCCACTCAAGCCCACCCAGAGGTCAGTACAGGCTACTTAATAAGTCTGCTGCTTTGCAACATTCCCGTATGGAGGTGTGTTACATCTTCATCGTAGCCCTGCGAGTCGGAGAAGGCGACGAAAAGAGAATCCGGTAAATGCGGGCATTACTGGGACGTAAATACAGAGACTGGGGTCCTCCAGGTGGGACGCAAGGCTGATGACCTTGCTCTGCAAAAGAAAAAACTATTTCTGCGAAATCCAAAAATGTGGAAACCCGACGGTCTGATTGGCGGCACATATTTTGGAAAACACAAACCTCACAGAAAATGTTATGACTCAAAAAGGGATGTCTTACCAATATTGACGATTTTATGACACTTCCAATATATATATAGGTAAAAAAAGTAAAACTATTCCCTGTAAGAGGCTGTGGAGACCCATAGGGTTGTGAGACGTCGAGGTTCCCACATTTTCTAGACAATAGGCTCAGAGTTGGCGCGGTAAGGTTGTCAGCCTTACGCGCCGGCCGCCCTTTACCCCCAGGAAGATTCGTGGGGCACGCAGTAGTGTAGTTGGTTGAGGCACTATACTACAAACCAGAAGGTTTCGGGTTGGATCTGAGATCAGGCCGCGGCTTTTTCAATTGGCCTAATCCTTCAGCCTCACTGTGGTCCTGGGGTAGACTCAGCCTCTAACAGAAGTGAGTACCAGGGATTTTCAGTATATACACGTATATAGCGTGAATGGTAAAATGATTCATGGGCGTGTGCCTGATTTCATTAGTCGTCTCGATAGTTGATTCAATTTTGAAATAATTAGGAATGTACAATTTCAAAATCCACTGAGAAAGCTATCTTAGCAAAAGGCCAATGCTGAATTAAGAATTTCATCACTGAGAATGTCGGCATCAGTATTTCTGCAGTATAAAACTGCTTTATCAATGCGCTGTGCAGAATCAAGTACAGACGTTCTGTTTCCTCACATTTCCTTAATTAATTGAGTAACGCTCACAAGATCTTTCAAAGGCAATGATATTTTATCCGAAACATAAATGAATAACATCGACCTTTGACCTCTTAACTTCACAGTTTGTTCTACATAATTCCATTCTGAATTGTATTTATATTTATTTTTATAATGAGTTTCTTTCTATGCACTCAGACAGCCTAGATTGAATAAGATTCCGGTATCAAACTTTTCAGTTTACCATTACTTTCAACGGGCCACTCCAGTTTTGCCGATAACAGTGGCCGCGCAGTCTAAGACATGAACCGTCTCCACACGCTTGGACACTGGGATCGTGGGTTCGCATCCCACTCGAAGCATGGATGTCTGTGTGCGTTTATTTTGTGTTTGTGTTGTTCTGTGTGTAGGTAGCTGCCTTGAGACAGGCTGATCCCCCGTCCAAAGAGTCCTACTGACTGTGTGTGGATTAAGAAACTGAAAAAGCGACCAAGGTCCAAAGGGCTGCAGAGCATAGAGACAAAGAGAGATACTCCAATTTTTATATAATGCACTCTTCAATTATTAGTATAAAGAAACCGAATAAAACCACGAAACTCTTCATTCACAACAGCCGGTAACTCGACCGAGATTCGAACCTCGTACCTCTCAAATATAATCTACACGATAAATAGCTCCCGGAAGGTCAAGACATGTGTGTACTGGTACTTCCCCTGTGTATAGACGTGTCTGCTCTCAACAGAATGCGCAGTGGATTTGGTCGAGTCCACCCGTCGTGGTATGGATTGTAGGGTGTGTATGGGTTATAACAGAGCCCTAGTTAGAGTGCGTCACCTTGTCTCCCTCCCTCAATACAACTGCAACCACTGCCCCGCTACTTTTTTCCACGTATAAACATGGTTTGCAGATTGCTACCAGCGTTTCGGAACCTGCCACTTCCATCTCCAGAATAGAAGAGCCATTTGTGGCCTACTTTACTTATTTTGAAAATATAAAAGGAAGTTTATGAGATTATCTTGCTGTCTGTGCCCCTAACGCCTGAAAGCCGGAATAGTAGAGCCAAAAGAGACGAACTTTGCCAGACAACGCCTTGCTAAACATTTTCCTGCGGCAATAAATACACACGACACAACAAAAGAAGCGACAAGGTGTTGTCTATGTGGTTCGTGTCATAGCAAACCTCTTGTTTTAATATTTACAGTCATTGTCCTGAGAAATCCATATGTCACAAATCTACTGGTAGATCAGTACATTAGAAGCCCTGGAGTATATCTGTATTCTGACGAGGAGTACACATTCTAAAACTCCCAACATTATAGTAGCTACAAAAACACATTCATGCTTAATGCTGTGGAGGATCCGGGTAGGCTTTGCTATCTAGCCGCAGAAGCGGGTCGCATAACGCCCAGGGGAAACATCAATCCGACACCTCCAGATAACAGTAATGAATATGGCGTGGTTATCATCGCCATCTCGTCGTTGTTTCATGCCGGTCTCAATTCCCAGATCTTAATTCCGTAAGTACTCATTCTGTGATAATAACAATAAAATAATAATACGAGTAATATAAATATATAAAATCCACGAATTGACCTAAAATGCCCAAAATTTAACCATTTGAAATACCAAGTTATACTCGTAAAAGGTAAAAAAAAGAGGTAGAGTTGTCCCTGTGCTTAATTAAGTACCATGCCATGAAGACGTATAGGGGAGTGGAGGTATAAAATTAACATTCTTGATCTCGGCATTAGTAAGATAGAGGTGAGTGGTCAGTTTCACGTCCTGGACGCTTTACCCCCAGAGAAAGAGACCCCGGTACTCATTGGATAGGAGGCTGAGTGGGCCCCCAAATTCGGTCTAGACGCTGTAGGGTACAGAAACATATCTTTCTCCTGCAGCAAATTATACACTGGCCGTTCAGCCGGCAGCCCGTCCGTGTACCAATTTATCCCGGCTTCAACTCATACCACTTCAAAATTCAGCTCCTACCTCGCAGGAAACTCTGCTCCTCGATGGCGAAGCCCAGTCCGTTAAAACTTACTACAGAAATAATGACTGTTTATTTTGTGAGACTCACACGAAATAGACAAATACGCTGTGAAGGATTTGAGGCCGACACAGACAGTAACTGCATAATTCCCAGAGCCGTGAATTCCAAAAAAAAAGAACTAGCTATGAATCACGCGGGACCTGGAACCAGGAATGGCCCTGCTGGCGAGGACCAGCAGAAATTTACCTGACTCGACCAGATGTTCTCACAGCGATGGTTATCAAGAGTTCTATGTTGTGGGCAATTTTCCATATAAGTTGCGCGCGCACTCCCGCGCACGTGTCTCGGAGTCCCGTTTATAGGTTTAGTATGTAGTCAATATAAAGTAATAAAGAAATTAAAATTGTAAACTATATTTTTTATATTTTGGGAGCTTATAAAATTACTGTCTGTTATGATCCCTTTTCGCAAATCGCTAGTCCCGGGGTAGCGAGTTGGTTAAGACACTATGCTACAATGCGGAGGGTCGCGGGTTCAATTCCCGATGAGATCGTTGGAGTTATTAAATTGAAGTAACAATTCCAGCTGCACTATGGCCCTGGGTTCGACACAACCTCTAACAGAAATGAGTAGCAGGAATCTTCCTGGGGATAAATGTGAGGCCAGCGCATAAAGCTGACCTCACCGCCATCTATGAGCCGACAGTCTAGAAAATGTGGGAGCCTCGACGTCTCACAACCGTATGGGCATCCACAACGCAACTGCTGCGCAGAAGACACCATGGCTTACGCAAGCGTATCTGCGGTTTAGAGCGAACGTTACTTCTGGGATATAATGACGCATAGTCCGTTGAAATTCAACCGACGTTAATAGATTCCATTTTCAAAGTATGACGGGAACCAAAGTTGCCATGCCAGAACTCCCACTGAACACATAGGGGACTTTTCTCCCGTAAGGTTGCCTGCTCAATGTGTGACGTACCCTCGAGGGCGTTTTGGTCAAAGCGTAGAGCCTCTAAACTTTCTATGGGTATGTACAGAGCTGTTGTTTGTATGTCTATGCGTGTTTCCTACCGCAATCAATTCTCTCAGACAACAGAAAGTCAATCGATACGTCATTATGTCGGGAAAAGCTGGCAGGTTCTGACCTCTCAAAACACCGCGTCAACGACACTTCATGCAACACAGACCAACAGACCATCAGTAACTTCCTCCACTCCGTCATATACTTTTCTTCTACGCGCCTTTTCTCCTTTCGCACTACACTACAAGCCGGAAAGTCACGGTTTCGATTCCCGATGATGTCATTGGATTTATTAATTTACCTAATCCTTCCAGCCGCACTATGGCTCTGGGGTCGACACGGCCTCTAACATAAATGAGTACCAGCAATCTTCCCGGGGGTAAAAGTCGGCCGGAGCATAAGGCTGACAAGCTCACTGTCATCTGTGGGCCGACTGTCTAGATAATATTTTGGAGCCTCGAAGTCTCACAACCCTAAGTTTATTTCTATACATGTAGACGTATAAATTCATGCGGGAGTAATTGTCATTTAAGTGTCATCGATGATACGAAACGTCGATAATCTTGTTGCGTAGTCGGAAAATCGGAAAACGATTGTTAATTTTTTGAATGCACAAACCACGGAATTTACGCATCGTAGAACCAATTGTGTTTCATTGTCTGATGAACGTAACACTTACGGAAAATTCTTATAGGCATAATATATATCTCATTTTTTTCTACAACTTTAGTTCGAAATATTTTTCGTTCCGATAAACATCTAAGGAATTACACGCGAGGTAGAGGCAGAAACCGTAGGCTAATCTTCATATAAATTCTCCGTTATTTATGTCCGATTTTAACCAAAATTGGATTTTTATCAATAGATTTTAGTAGAACTCCCATGTATCAAGGAGTACTATTTTGTGGGACATAACGCGTGTAGTCCCTTGAAAGTAAACTGCAGTTTCGGAGGAATATATCGCCTCGATCTTTAGGATCTAAGAATAAGCCAAGCAAAAGGCCAGCAAGGAGCAAGCATGATTCCTGGTTCCGAGCGAGCGAATACAGCACATAACTTTGACCGCTCTGCTATCCTGATCGGAATTTCCTCAAGCATGCCCCCTTGAACTAAACGGTAAACTGAAACAATCAACACAAGATTCGTATCCTATTTGCTATAGACTACCTGATTCCGTAGAAATTAATTCCTTATTGGAAGCAATAGGCTTTTACTTGTCTGTGGTTTCATGAATGACGTACCGAACTCCTCCTCAAGGCTCCTTCAACCCCAGAAATCACAAAATTTATATATACGAGTATATAAATGTATACAGACAGACTGAATGAGATAATTTTACACGAAAGCGTATGCACTTTCGGGAGCTTAATTTAGAACATCTGAGATTATCTAAATAAAGGCTTGAGGATGGATGTCATCATGACATATATAGCACAGTCGGCAGAATGCGCAAGCCAGCTTTACACTTTACATGTTTCCAATTGTGTTCCAGTGCTACAGGTTAACCCTAGCATAATCCGACAATGGTTACGAAGCGGAGACCTAGAGAAATTGGAGTCTGTAGTGCTGGAGGGACAGGCACACAAACTTGTGGGCGAGTACTCCCCGGACGCCAAAGTAAGGGCCTACCTCAAGACGATACCTGCCCTCATGGTGAGTATCAGGGGACATGGGGTTAAGTCTCCACGTCTTCCAATATTTCAGCAGTAATTGGGAGTGAGCGGTTCGTTAATTTTTTTTAATTCGTTAGTGGGGGGTGGAGTCCAGCTGGGTCCACTCGGCACGGCGGCCACTGATTGCCCTATTGTACCTGCCCCTGGTGATTATGATGATGGAGAATTTGGTGGAATGAAGATTGGCAGGGAAAACCGAAGTACTCGGAGAAAACCCGCCCCAGCGCCACTTTGTCCATCACAAATCCCACTTGATCAGAGACGGGATTGAACCCGGGCCGCCGCGGTGGGAAGCCAGCGGCTAACCGCTCGAGTTATGGCGCGGTCTGAGCGGTCCGTTTCTTGTTGCGGCAGTGTTTGCCTCTCTGGGAAGAGTTTACAGTTCCGATCGGAATGCAGGGTCTGTGACACTCTTCTATACGGAACTATATATAAAACTGAAAGTGGCCGATAGAGTTCTGAACGTAGCACCGAAGGTGTTCAGTGATGCCCATTATGACATATGAAGTGGAAGTAATGTAGACTTAATTTCTATAGGAATAAAATTAACAGACTACCGGTCGCCATGTGAATATCCCTGGACCCGCTTGGAAGGAGAAACGTAGAACTGTTGTCAGAACTTTATTTCAGCTGCAAATATTCCGAAGCGTCCATTCGAACGCTTACAGCTGTCAAGAGTATGAGCCAGTATGCACAACTGCTGAAAGAGCTGTCAGGCGTGATTCAATGGTAAAGCAGAGAGAAACATAGAACTATCAATGCACTTTAGACCACTGTAGGTCGCTGTGCAGGGGCCGAGAAGGCCCACCCCTTATACATTCATACATACATCAATGCACTTGGCAGAAGTCAGGCCTCCCTCGCCTTGCTCGAGCTACGTGCTGCTGACTTCTTGCTGGTTGCTTTCTTATTTCATTCTTCGACTATGAAAATGGAGGCAGTAAATCCCTTCGAAACGTTGGTGAAATTATGCCGAGCTGCAAGGCGTCACAGTTCTTTTCGGCAGGAAATAGTCTTCTAAGAAAACGATTCGATAAGCTCCTCATTAAGCAATGTGCAGCAGTTCCTCTACTATTAGAGCACTTTGGTATCAAGCTAAAGCTATCCCTGCAACAGGGCGTGGAGGCCCATACGATTGTGAGACGTCGAGGCTCCCACATTTTCTACACAATAGGCTCACAGACGGAAGTGACGTTACAAACCAGAAGATCGCGGGTTCGATTCCCAATGAGGTCATTGGATTTTTCAATTGACCTGATCCTTCCAGCCGCACTATGGCCTTGGGGTGGACACAGCCTCTGACAGAAATGAGTATCAGGAATCTTCCTGGGGAGTAAAGTTCGGCTGGCGCGTAAGGATAACAACTTCACCGCCATCTGTGAGCCGACTCTCTAGAAAATGTGGAAGCCTAGACGTCTCACAACCCTATGGGTCTCCACGGCCTGTTACAGTGATAGATTTACTTTTTACCTTTTACTTTGTTATGAAAATCATACGCAGATAAACGCAGTAATATATTTACGTCGTTCTAATGCGGCAACTTCCCAGACACTCTTGCATTGCGAGCGACATGACATGATGCAAGCATCTGCTTTCAAAGCAAAAGAAACAATTCAGTGTACCCCGTGCCTCCGCGGCAACTTCTCCGATAAAGTTGCATTGCGGGTCAGTCGGAACGGATTGGCAGGCGAGGACTTCTACCGGCTCTTACGTGACAGTTCAGCGAATGTCAGACGAAATTGGTACCAGACGGAGCTGAGTGGTAAGCTGAACTATTAGACAGCTTTATCCTTCACCCCCCCTCCCTGTTAAGAACCTCCATTATCGATAGGATGGGATGGTGAGTAGACGCCACAGTCGGTCTGCACGTAGAGGCTGAGAGATGAAAGATGGAGGATGCAAAGTGGGCTAATAACAAAGAAGAATCGAAAAATTTGTTCACAAAATCGGCCTGCAGAATATCAAACTCGGAAGGCTGTACAGACCGTGCCAGACTTTTCGCTCTGAAGCGTCGCGTTAGGTGCAATTATCCTGAGGTGAATATCTATCTAATATCTATACTGTGACGCATATGCCCGCTGCTAAGCAACGGCTCGATAAACACCTTCACGCGGAGACAGATACTTAATAACCAGTCCGTTGCTCGTAAAGCCTACAACAATATGCGACAAGAGTAGACGTGTTTTCCGTGAGGACCGAACCGAGGCTATATAACAGTGAGTTATTCTGGTTCCAGGAGTTCAGTTCAGTCGAGGAGCAGAGACAGAGAGAGAGAGAGAGCAGTGGATTAGTGTAGTGAGGTCGAAGCGGAGAGTGTTCAGTCGAAGACAGTGTTTTGTGAAATGTTGTACCAAGTTGCATAAAGGTTAAATAAATCCGATCATCAAATCCTAAACCCGTCTTAATTGTAATGCAAACCCCTAATACGTGACAATATGTTATACACTAAGATATGTTCTAGGGCGCTGAAGAAACCTACAGTGTTTCAGAAGGAAAGGTCATACGTAGTCACCTCTATGACAACCCCAAATCCAACGAATGACAGGATGATTAATGAGCAATGAATTTCCGCTGGGTATGGAGGGAAGTGGTCGAGGCTCGTGTACTATCCCAGTAGAATCCTCAGTCAGGATAGCCGGTTTCAGGGCCTAGATTTGAAGTCAGGATCTTCTAAATACGTTTGTAACCACTTTCGGTGTGGCAGACACTGAGCAAACTAACCTAACCGTCCTCCGCAGGCGAAGATTGAAATGCTACACGAGGCTGTGACAAAGGGGCAGCAGGAGGACATGGAGATGCTGCTGAAGGAGGAGAGGAACAAGAGGATGGCCCTGTGCAAGGACCCCGCGGGAGTTCCCCTGCTGCACAAGGCTGTGTACTACGGCCACCTGGACATCGTGAGCTGGCTGGTGGAGACCTACCCTCTCACAGTCAGCACCAAGGACAGGGTGAGTGCGCGCTCATCACTACACACACTTGTGGTTCTCCCAACCGCTTCCTTCTCTATTGTATTGTATTGTATTCAGCGGCACACGATAGCGTAGTTGGTTGAGGCACTATGCTTCAAGCCACATGGTCGCGGGATTGAATCCCGATGGGGTCATTGGATTTCTTCAATTTACCTAATCCGCGGTAGCGTAGTTGGTTGAGACACCGTTACAAGCCACAAGTCGAGGGTTCGATTCCCGATGAGTTCATTGGATTTCTTTCAACTGACCTCATCCTTCCACTTTCACTATGGCCCTGGGGTCGACTCAGCCTCTAACAGAAATGAGTACCAGGAAACTTCCTGGGGCTAAAGGGCGGCCGGCGCGAAAGGCTGACAACCTCACCGCCATCTGTGGCCAGACTCTCTAGAGAAAGTGTGTGAACCCCCACGTCTCACAACCCTATGGGCTTCCACGGGATCTTACAGGGGTATACCTTTTTACCGTCTATTCTTTTCTTTTTCTTTCTCTCGTTCGTTCCAATTCTTCTACCTTTCCCTTCTTCTCCTTCTTCTGTTCTCTTAACCGAGAGGCTTGCTGCAGTGGTAATGTTTTCATGGTTGTTCTCAGTTCGTGCAGGCAGATTTCGGGATAGCGCCTTGGTTACGCCAAGACCACTTCTTTCCACATCCCTTGCAGTCACAATTCATCAGTAACGTTACTGTCCGACGAGACACAGTCCAGACACTGACAGTGTCGTTAAATCAATCACAATCTCTGTTCCATTTTTTCGTTATTTCTTTCGTTCGTTCTTTATTATTTTGTCGTTGTTCTTCCATCTTCTTTTGTTCATATATCGCCATTTTGTTTTTTCTTTCTACCTTTACATTTTGCGCTGTATTTTTTAATCATTCTTTTCATTATTATTCATATTCTTTATTATTTCTTACTCTGTTGTTTTCTTTGTTTGTTCCTTTTTCTTTTCTTTCCTACTTTCTTTCCTCACGTTCCTTCTATATTTGTAAATGCACTTCCTTTTTTATTTTGTTCCCATCTCTCTTCTTTCATGCTTCATTTCTTTGCTCCTTAATTATTTTTTCCTCTTTCTCATTTCTTTCTTTCTTCTTCCCTTCCTCTGTAACCTCCTTTAGTTCCGTGTCCACTACCATCATTACACGGTTTCCTTATGCCTATGCACGGACTAATTTAAGACTCTCGAACGTAAAGCCAATCGACGCAAATAAAATTCGTATCTCATTAGACTGCCTCTGAGGTTCACCCAACCTCCTATGCAGTAGGTACCGGGGGTAAAGCGGCCGGGGCGTGAAGCTGACCACTCACCTCCAACTAGTGCTGAGGTCAAGAAAATATGGAAGTATACATCCGCTCCCCCATACGCTTTCATGGCATAGTGCGTAATTAATTAAGCACAGGGACATCTCTAAGTTTTACGTCAATAAAGAAATTCGTTCACGACACCCAGGCTAGTGAGCTTTGCTCAGGCCCTGGATAACTCCCATGCAGACTACCAGGCCATCATCAACTTGTTTTGCCTTTCGATTTTCTCTGTTTCTTTATGCTTCACGAGGTTTAGGGCACACTTTTCGGCTGCAATTGTTTGGGCAGAAAGATCAATCTATGTCAGCAGATTGACGCCAAGAAGGCCATATCTTTCAGAAGAACAATGCCCCTCTTACAATGCAATATGAATTATGACGGTGGGAGGCAAAGAATAGCTCAGGTTCGTATCTGGAAAAGGAAACCGTGGCCGAATTTGTCACTGGCATTTTTTGCATGCTCTGTTCCTATAATCAGACCACCTCACTGCAATAGTATCGCTATGCAGGATTTGCAGCTGTCATGGAAACGTTTCCAGCCGTTCACAGTGGCCGGCCGCGCGGTCTTCGCCCGCACAAACACTGTGATCGTGGGTTCCAATCCCACTCAAGGCATGGATGTCTGTGTGCGTTTATTCTGTGTTTACATAGCGGGCTTGAAACGGGCTGATCCCCCATCCAAGGAGTCATGCCGACTGTGTATAGATTAAGAAACTGAAAAAGCGGCCAAGGTCCAATAAAGGTCTGTAGAGCCATAGATAGATAGACAAACAAACAGAGACAGAAAGACAGATAGATGGCATAATTTCTGGGACAATCGCAAAAAACTGTTCCGGACATAAGATGTAAAACCATAAAAATACAAGTAGAACAAGAAAATATACACGTACTTCTATAAACATGTGAACTGTTCATATGCGATACACAAAAGGGAGCTACCCAAATGAGAATAACCGCGAAACCAGTAAAACCACCCGCTGCTCCTGCGAACAATAGCGCCAACAAGAACACAGCCCAGGACGGCCCAGGAAGGACAGCAGAACAAGGAAACGTGTGGGGTGGACAGACAGACAGACAGACAGACAGTGTATTCAGTGCTACATATTTACATAAAACGTTCAATATGTACAGCTTCAGCAAAATAACTACGATGTCAACCAATAAAAGCCCACACATTGTAGTATATAGCATAGTCTACTACACACAGTATACAACACATCGGAAGATACACTCAGTTAAATGTAAATTTACGCTAAGTACATGATATGATGGCACTATGCTACAAGCCGGAAGGCCGCAGATTCGCTTCCCGATGAGGTCATTGGGTTCTTCAATTGATCTAATCCTTCCAGCCGCACTATGGCCCTGAGGTCGTCTCAGCCTCTAACAGAAATGAGTACCAAGAATCTTCTTGGGGGTAAAAGGCAGCCGGCGCGTAAGGCTGATAACCTCACTTCCAACTGAGAGCCGATTGTCTAGAAAATGTGGGAGCTCCATGGTCTGTTGCAGGGATAGCTTTACCTTACGCGATAGAATAATTGTAACTTAAGACCGGACCTGAAGATGGCATATATATGTGGAGAAACATCTCGTCCCATATAGCAATAATAACATATATGTATATTTAGGCTACTCTCCTAAAGTAGGCTTGTGCGATCTCCATGCTATGTGCCTGTGAATCCGCCCCCCCCCTTAACTTTTGAATGCCTGAACCAATCTTTCTCAAACTTGGCGTGTATGAGTACATCATGGCACCTGAGCCCATCTCAATTATGCATTTCATAAATCCCTCTCATCAGTCTGTGTATCGTCGTGTATTGATGCTAGGCAACGGCTTGTTAGACACGTTCCCATGGCAACGAATACACGGAAGAATAGAATATTTGTTGGAGGCACAGTTTTCTATACGGTCCTTGTAGTATCAAAGGAGGTTCTGTGGGTCTGTGTATCCCTGTTGTTGTTAGGCAATGACTTGGTAAATAATGCCCGCGGCAACGCAGAATTGTTGGAGGCTTCGTTTTCTATGCGGTCCGTGTCGTATGAAAGTAAAGTAGGCCATTAGTTCTTCCCAGAACTTCTTGCTTATCGCTGTTATGTATCGAGAGAATGAACTAAGATGTCAGTTCACCACTTGTGTGTGTCTGATAACTGATCGTGTGATTGGGGATGTTTGCAGGAGGGAAGGACAGCCCTGTTCTACTGCTGCGTGCTGAAAGACCCCAAAGAGACGTGGGAACTACTGGAGAGGGCTGGCGCAGACCCCTCTGTCACAGATTCACAAGCGCGCATTGCGGCCTACTACATAGACCATCCCTCTGAGATTGAACTGGCAGACACGAGGGACATGAGCGGATCCTTCCGGCGCTTCACTTCCGGCAAGGATGGCACGTACCTCTCTCATTAACTCTTCTGCAGTCACCGTGACACGACCAGGCAGAACAAATCAAGGAGTTGTAGGATTTGAGGTTCTCACAGAGGTGGTTGAGGGCACGCGGTAGTGTACTTGGTTCAGGCACTATGCTACAAGCCGGAAGATTGCGGGGTTGAGTACCGATGAGGTCATTATTTCCAATTTACCTAATCCTTCTAGCCGCACTATGGTCCTGGGGCCGACTCAGCCTCTATCGGAAATAAGTACCAGGAAACTTCCTGGGGGGTAAAGGACGGCCGGCGTGTAAGGCTGACAACCTCCCCGCCATCTGTGAGCGGATTGTCTAGAAAATGTGGGAGCCTCGACGTCTCACAAACCTATGGGCCTCCACGGCCTGTTACAGGGATAGCTTTACCGTTTACTTTTTTCACAGCGGTGGCTGAGTTCTAACTTCTGGGACATAACGCTGTGTAGTCCGTTGAAAGTCAACCGACGTTTTGGAGGAACATGTCACCTCCAGCTCCAGGATCAAAAATATAAGCCAATCAACCTGCTTTCATGCTGATTTTTTACTTGGCTTATTCTTCCATCCTCAGGACGGAGTCGACATGTTACTCCGAAACGTTGGTTGACTTTCAACGGACTACACGGCGTTATGTCCCAGAAGACATATCTCTTCAAATCCAGGAATTCCTTGAAAAATGGAAGTAAAATTATGCCTGTCGTTAATTAAACATCATGTCATGAAGACGTGTGGCCGAGTGGAGGTATTACGCCATGTATTCCTAACCTTGGCAACAGAGGGAGGCCAATGATCAGCTACACGCCCGTCAGAATCCCGAGGTGGACTTTTCATAATCCCAGTATTTTCTTATATATTACGTATACGAGAAAGTACAGGGTGATTCTAAATTATTGTCGGGGTTTCCGTCTATAGTTCACGGAAACCCCGACAATAAATTTGAATC